GGATTTGAGGAACAAAAGGGACTTTGCTGTGGTTTCATAACATCAACATCAAATAACATCACATAATCCAAATTCTGACATAATTTTGAGTTTATTACAGTAGCAAGATTTTTATATGCTTTTTTGAGGCTCTTGGTTAAGTTAAGCATAATCACTGCCTTACTTCTGTAAGAATGTTATACAAAAAAATTCAATGTATTTATACATTTTTTAACAGCTTAGTAATAGTTTTATGTTGTGAAATCGTTCAACTGGCAGATAATTTAGTTTGTAACACTCACATAAATGGTTTAAATCTTGTAATATAGTTCAGTAATCAAACACTGCATTCAACTAATGTTCTAAACTTGTAGTTTCTGACCTTGGGGGCTGGGGGGCTGGTGAGGTCTCAGACCTCCCGTAGGAATAAAGAGACCCCCTAAGAGAGAACTTTTGGGGGTTTCGCCTTCGCGCTCAACATTAGATTCTTCTCTCTGGATAAACTGAAAACTCACTCACTCCAGTTCAAAACAGGAGAATATTAAAGCTTGAGCGCTTTTCCAGCTTTAGATACTTTTGACTTTAATTCAGCAATAGACATGAACATGGAAAAAAATGATAGCACCCATGTCCTAAGCTAACAAATATGTTTCTGTTGGCAAAAGGTTACCATTTTCGGCTGTTCGAGAACATGTGATGGGTAACACTAGCCTATCATGTCAAGTGAAAATATGCGTTTGTGTGTAAAAACCAATATATGACCATAATTAGACCCATCTGTATGGCAAACTGAGTTTGGTTTTACTTCTTACGGGACCCATCAGACCTGCCTGCTAATGACTAAAGCAGTTTTTACTACCTAAATAAAATATTTTAATAATTTAAGAAACCTGACTAGTAATACTAGTGAAAATATATTGTGAAACATAATATATATTATTATATTATTACACAATATATAAAGTTAATACTTGTTTTTTTCAATTACTTACATTTTTTGTATATAGCTATAGACAAAAGTTCGAAAACCTCCATCAGTGTATATGTTTTGCTGATTTGAAAGTAAGTTAACACATCCTTTACAGAGAACAAACTCAAATATAGCATTTTTCTGCAAACTGTACACAACTTGACAACTTCAAATTATTTGCATTTGTGTATTTATTGCGTTTGAGTTTAACAAATAAAACAATGTGTTAAATTCAGCCAGTACACAGTAACTGTGCATTAACGTACAGACGTGCGTTCTCTGTAGAGGATATGTTTAACTTATTTTCACTTAAAAAAAAACAAAAAAACAATCTCACTGTTTACCCAAAAGCAAGGAGAGACTGCAGCGCTGCACAGGGAGAATGGGCAACTCTCAGCACAGTCCATGACAGCTTTAGACAATGTGCAAATTTAGTTGGACTCCAGGTGGTAATTATTAGCCAACTGATTCAGGAGCTAAAAAGCTCCAACCATGAGCGCTCGCAGCCATCGCCCAGAGGGCCCTGAAACCAACAGCCCGAAACCAGAGAGCCGTCGCCATGGAGACGGCGAGGCCCACCAGGAAACCAAGTTTATTATGGAGAGATCAATAGTCTGTTAGTGATGTCACTGGGAGAATTTCAAGCAGAGAGAATCTCAGGGAGGAGGAAACGAGAAAGCCAAGAAGAAAAGAGATACAGTCTGAGATCAGTGCAGCGAAGTGAACGTGTATAAAATGACAGAGTCTGCTGGCACTACAGATACATATTACTGTAAATGTCCATTTTCATGGGCCTTATATACAGCATTTAACCAACCAAGCTGATTTATAGAGGAATCGTGATTCTCAAATCAACAGTGTGGCTTATATATAGAACTTATATGTTCTTATAATCTTTAATATATTTAATACATCTGTCTCTGGGTGTCTGTTATGTAAATAATCTTGATCCTGGAAGTCTGATTCTATCATTTCTGTCATGTGACAGATGGCACACGGTTTGCTTATGTGATATAACACAGTTAGAGGCCATACATTTTCATGTATTCTATCTTTATAACATTTGTGTGCGTTTATGTATCAAAAAAGGTTTGAATTCATTTTACATGAACTGTATCATTTACAATTAATGTTTTTGATACTTACATAGGTAAATGAGCTCTGTTCTGATTGGCTTTGTATTGTACCTCATTTAAAAAGCAGCAGTGCCGAAACACTCCTTATAACTTCAGTGTGAATGGGTGGGGCTAAACTTCTGCCGGCCGAACAGGTGGATGTACCTAAATGGGCTGGGTTTTGTGACATCACAAAAACAATGTGTTCAAAGGTGGCTGTTTTGCAGCCCAGAGTGAGTATAGAGAGTGAACAGTATCTTTTGAAACTTCAAACATCTGAAGTGCACTTCACCACTACATTCAGTCATTCGCAAAATTTAAACACTCTTGGTCAAATTACATGTTTTCTCAATTTCCTAAGTGAAAATAAGTTTACACATCTTTTACAGAGAACGTACTTTTGCATATTTTCATGCACAATTACTGCTCATTTGCTAAATGTAACATAGTGGAATTTTACATTTTATGTTTCATGGAAAAATGTCAGATTTAAGTATGCGCCCTGTAGATAATGTGTTAACTTATTTTCACTTATAAAATCAACAATATGTCATTTGACCAGGGGCACCCAAACTCTTCCATATGACTGTATAGTTCAGTGGGCTACAACAATTATTTAAGGTTATGTTTCAATTTCACAGTGTCTATCCCACTTCTGATACCAAAACTATGCTCTTAACTAGAACCTTCAGCACTTTAGTCACATAATGAATGATATTTAAACAATTGGAAAAGCTCCTCTTTTTTCTTTCATTTTTACATTTTTACATTTGTTATAAGCTGGATGCATGTTGATTGGTCAGGCAAAGAAGTTATATAAGTAACTTTCTAAAACTGGGGATTAAAACAATGTTCAGCTCCAACTGTCGGTGTCCAATGTTCTAAAACTAGACAGTTCACATTGATCAAACTGTCTTTTAAAACATTTTAAAAGCATTTCATCTTGTGGGATGAGCATAAACTGGGCTTTAGGAAACCTGAGGCTCTTTCAAGCTCTTCTCTGTAGCCATGGTTTCTGTCTATTCCTTTATTGCCATGTGTCTTTCTGATGGTGCAGTCAGAGAAAGAGAAAGTCTGAGGGGCTCTTTTAGGTCTGATCTTAACAGACTTGGAGAAATTTTAGTACCGTCTCAGACAGGTTTTAACAGTGCTTTAGAACCTTCTAATCTCCTCTAGATAATGTGTGTTAATTTCACTTCGGGCCAAAGCTAATCATATTTATATACAGTCATATCCAAAAGTTTGAACACCCTGGTCAAATTACAAACTCAATTCCAAAAAAGTTGGGACAGTATATGAAATGCAAATAAACACAGAAAGCAGGGATCTGTAAATCCACTGACCTATATTCAAACAAAATAAGTACAACAATGAGATGTTTAATGTTTTATCTTATAAACTTTGTAAATATATTCTCGTTCTGAAATCAATGCCTGCAACATGTCCAAAAAAAGTTAAGACAGGCAATTTAAGACTGGAAATGTTGTTAAACGTTTAGAAAACATTTTAGAAGATGTGATATATTCATGCTTGGGCATAAAAGAAGCATCCAGGCAAGGCCTAGTCCTTTACGAGCAAAGATGGGTCGAGGCTCGCCTTTTTATCAAAATAATGCACTGCATTAAAACTATGATGGATATCATGGGCTCAGGAGTACGTAGACAAACCACTGTCAATAAACATTGTTTACTACTGCATTGAAAAATAAAAGCTGACTATACTATACAGAGTGAAAGTCATACCAACAGCGTACATATTTGGGGTAAGTGTATATTTACAAAAAAAAAAAGGTAATTATAAGGTAAAACATCAAATATTGTGTTTTTTGTACTGTTTTCAGGTTAATACAGGTCAAACAGAATTTACTCACTGCTTTCTGTTTTTTTTTGGCATTTCACACTGTTCCAACTGTTTTGTAGATTTTCTATGTCAAAAAAGGGCACATTCTCTGACAGAGTAAACTTTAATATTTTGCTACAAATTTTAATGCACAATTTCTATTTGCTGAGGTTAACATATTGGAAAAATATAAAACATAAAATAGAAAATCTACCATAACTTTTGGAAAAAGATGTATCTTGTTATTAGAAAATCAACAAAATTTGCATATGACTGTATTTAATACATACAGAAATACAGATAGAAATATAGACATAAAAACCTGAATGTCTGAATGCAGAGCTCAACAGCAGCCCTTAACTTGGTTAACTAGAGGTGGCAATTATATTTTCACACCTGATGATGGCTGCATGGTTTAATTAGCCCACAAAGAAATGACTTTTTGTCTTTTTCCGCGTTTAATCCTCTTTACCTCTACATTTTTCCAAGAAGAAAATTCAAATATGAGAAGCGTAATGTGAGACATGCAAATGTGAGAAATTCAAAACTGGTCAGTTGGTCAGTTCAGAACAGCTCAGTGTTCTTTTGTAGCAACTGGTGCTAGGTTGGACAAGTATTACAGAACATTATCAAAATCCTATTCTACTTAATGAGAAACTGATGTGCCAACCCAGTTTCTATCAAAATATGTAAATTATTCACACTGGACCGCTGTGATGTTTGCTGCTACATAACATTGAATTTCCAGTTTAAAATGCTACACTACTTAGCTGGACTGTGCTGTTTTAGGTAATTAAAACTAGGCAGGTTGGAAACCACAGCAACGCAAGATTTGCCACCAGGCTAACCTGAAACTAACAGCATACTCAGAATTTATTTTTCCGTTGTACTCTACAATTTCCAACAGATACTCTGAAGCAACGCGTCTGTGGGTGGAGCATGGAGAGGTAATATGTTGTGTAGTTCTGATGCACTCAATGGTCTCTCTGATTTAAATATAGGATATTGTGCGGCACTGAATCAAATCAACAGAAAAAGAAAATGATGAGCCACACAGTAAATCAATCAAATGAATCAGGAGAACTGGAGTTACTTACCAATTAACTCTTTATTTCTCACATCTAAGGCCATGTTTCGTAATGCTGTAGCCACTGCACACACCACCCGGTCGTTGTCTATCCTCAAGAGCTCGACAAGAATGGGGAGACCCTTCTCTTTCCTCACCGCTGCACGGATATAGACTGACCACTGAGGGGTAAACAAACACACACAGAGACAACACACTTTTTACACAATGTCAAGACATGGAGTCATACATACCTTCCATATATGTAAGGTGAACATGTCTAAGCTGGGCATTCTCTGCGGTGTACCACAAGGCTCTGCTCTTGGCCCACTGTTATTTTCTTTTCATATGCTGTTGCTTGCTCAGACTTGTAAAAAGCATGGAACCAGTTTTCACTGTTATGCTGATTATACACAGGTATACATATTTGTAGCGCCTGATGGTATCGCTACTGTAGATAAGCGTGCAAACTGGTAATATGCACTATATGTATTACATATATCCATGTACAACAAGAACAATAATAGTAGTTGTAATAAAAATATAATAATGTGCTACATTTATATTGTTTATTTAGGTGCCTATATATAATACATCCCATACTTCCATTCAAAATAAAGGAACAAGATACAACATGCAACTTTAACACACTGCAAAGGGCAGCTGGCATGTAACACAAAGAAAAATAAAAAAATAAAAATATATAGATAAATGGTTTTATTACAACAGCACTAATATATATAGTCACTGTTATCAGAAATCTTATGTTTATCTCAAAATTGATCTCAATTCTATGTAAAACATGCAACTTTGGTTAAAATGTACTTCACCTAGTCAGGACTGTTATTGTTTTTATCTGTGAAATCAGGACATTCTTTTCTTGAAAATGTACAAAAACAGACAGACGCAGAACATATGAAATATTCGACATAAATGCATTATATGCAGTGAACATACAAGCAAGTGGCCTAAACACATCAATGGGGTTTTTAAGTGTTCTATTTTAAACAGAGCACAAAGGCTGCATGTTCATGTTCAGTGACAGAAGGGCAGTGCAGTGAGAACCTGCACTGATCTGACACTCAAACAGTGTGCATATGTGTCAGCTCTGATCAGATACCCCCCTATAAAACACTCACGTGACAGGAGAGCCGACCAAAAACACGCACACACAGAGAGAGAGAGAGAGAGAGAGAGAGAGAAAGAGAGAAAGAGAGAAAGAGAGATGGGGACTGCTTGGCGGTGCTACTGTTCTGTGTTTTATGATACCATACATGTCAACTTGTACACCAAAAGACATAAAATCAACTGTTTACAAAAAAAAACACTGTTTGAAATAACTTTCTCAATTTATTTGTTCAATGAAATTCATTCCATGTACATGCACTTTTTACCACATTTTAATGGTAACGTTACTGAAGAGCAGCATTTATAATGCTACACGACACCTACACAAGCCTTTCACGACAACTGACATAAACCTATACAGATATTTACAACTGCTTACAAGTGTTACTGAGATGAAATGACACCAAAGGTGACAAAAGCAGCCTTTATGACACAAGGCACTTGTTGGCATAATCCTTTATAAATGTTTATGTAGGCTTATGTCAGTTGTGAAGAATGGCTTGTATAGGTGCCGTATAGCTTTACAAATTGTAAAGTGTCACCATTTCTTTTAAGGCCTAGTTTATAATTTTTCTTATGAAAGTATTGGAATCTAGTTGCGGCTTGTTGTTGTTCAACAAAAACCCATTTTATTGTTCAGGCTTTTTTTAAAATAACTCTGATTACTAATATAATCCAGTGTACTTTTTAGGGTTAAAAAGCAAAGCCTTAGACTCCATCTGCAAATACAATATGCGTTTGTGAAAACACAATACGGTAAGTAATCCTTGTCTTGATCAAGATGGACTCCAATCCAATGTGAATGGTGGGCTTACTCGAAAGCTGGTTGGGTGGGTCTGAATGGCTGCTTTGCAGATGAACGAACACAGGAGCCGATTACAGCAGCTGGACAAAACAGGCAGAGTTTAATTGGGGGAGTGCACTCGCTTGCCATTTCTGTTTTCACACACTCACTCACATCACCAATGGTGTGGACGTGGAGGAGGGATTGCCGCAAGGCCTTTTTCATTTAACCTCAACCATCAGGCCTACACAAAAGCGTGAGCAAAGGCAGTCGCAGTTATGGGACTTTTAAAGCCCCATTCCATTCGAAAGCTTCTATCTCCAGGCCTCACAGTATTGATTTAGCTGCTTTTTGGATGGATTATTGCTTTGATAATGGAGAGCAAGCTATTTTCCAGTACTGGGCAATGCTGATGAATTCAATATCTCATTAAGTATAAAACATGAGAATATTATGGTATTATAATGTAAGATGATATTTACATTTGCATTAATAAAGTTGATGAATGTTTCCTGAGTGCTGCTACTCTTATAGTAAAATAATGCCAACCATGACATACAGTACTGTGAAAAGGCAAAGACCACCCTTCATTTCTTTTATTTCCAGTTAAAATGACCATTATTACAAGATGTTTTTTGTTTTAAAGATAAGTTTTTGAGGAGTTTAGGAAAAAAAAGGCAAAGGAAAACAGAAATTTCCAAAACGGGAGCACAAAAATTGATCAAAAGATACTGAAAAGATGTGACTCCCAACAACTGATCAGATGAACAGATAAATAGTATTTAAGCAATACTTAAACAGTAATAGTACTTACATTATTACATCAGATAAACAGCACTAAAAGCTCTCATCTTTGAGAGATTAACTCTTGCTTCAGATTAAAAAAAAATATGTTTCTGTCCATCCTTTCAAAAAGCCATTACTAAGAAAAGGAAAAGTACAAAAAGGAAGTCTGAAAAGTCTGAAAAACCTCAACATCGTTGAATGTGTTTGGGATTACTCTGATCACAAGAAGCAGAAGGTGTAAATCTGGTAAATGGTAAATCTGAACAATTAAGAGCACTTTTGCCCTACAACACTGTTCTCACATATCTCACCACTATTAACTGATGTAAAAGTATGCTGTACGCAAAAAACGAATCTAAAAAAATCTACTGTAAACCAAAATCTCAGACGTCGGACAGCGAATTCGTAACCATTTCATGAAACAACTTTCTGTGATGGTATTTCATGCATTAAACTCTTTGGATGTCTGGTTCCTTTCACCACCACTATGAACAATTCTGATTCAGTAAGTATCTCCAAAAAACTTACTGGTTCACATTAAAACACGGTGAATGACATTGCTTCACAAATTTTCCAAGTTTGGTATTAACTTTGCACCAAACTACAGCTACATTTGGCATCCTTAGTAATTTGTAGACTATTTGTATATTTTAGTGTTTTGTTTTTTTCCAGCATATTAAACTTTGTTATGACAGGACTGACACGCTGTTTAGTTCTTATGTAAGTTAAACTGTTCTTTCGAAACAACCTTAACCACCCAGTAAATGACATACACTGCAGTTAAAAAAGCTTTTGTAGCCTATCAGTATGTCCAAAACTAGAAATCAATAGAAATCAATAGAGACAGAGAGAGAGAGAGAGAGAGAGAGAGAGAGAAAGAGGGTCAATCATTTAGATTCTACTGGTTGGACTGGTACATCTATGAAGAGCGAGCGATTCCTGGCCAGGAAAAATGTGATTTCACACTTCCTCCTCCAAACCCGTGCCTAACAGATAGCAAACACACTCTATTTCTCCCTTGACAGCAGAAAACACGGGCCACACTTGCTTTGAGTGCGTAGAGCAAACACAAATGCTGAAAACAGCCTTCAAAGAGTTATTTTAAGCCCTTCTACCTGCCTGTGATCAGTCTGCTTAAATCTGCAGACACGTATGAAGGATTAGCTTGGATTTGGGCCTATAGATAAGGCTTAAAGGACGGGTGACAATAGAATCAGGCTACACATACGCTCCCTAATAGCACTGATGTGACAGATAAGAGCAGGCTGGCTGACAATAATGTGCCTGGCAGATATTCTTTCATCCTTTTAATTCACTCTTTTTATAACCAGACACAAGGAGTTTATTTGGGAGAAGAAAATGCCAGTTGAAAACGCACACACAGATAAACACACAAACCAGCACAGGCCTGGCCAATATGAACACACTCTCACACACACACACACACACACACACACACAAAACACAAAGACACAAACACAAAGATACATGCAGTGGCTCGATCTTACACACTAGAGGTACCAGTCAAAAGTTTAGATACACCTGTTTTTCAGAACTGAAGACTTTTTTTGATTGTAATGTTTGTGTTAAAATGCTTGAAACCTGTTTCTAATGCTGTGGTATGTGACAGACGGCGACATGAAGCCAAGCAAACGCTAGCATGATGACAGCATTACAAGCAAAAATGGATAATTATCAGAGGAGAGCTTTAGCAGTGCAGTTCACATATTTAAGGTGGATAAAGGCAGGAGAACGCTGTGGGACTATTTTATTATTTGTTGTAAAATACTGGGTTTGTCTGGAATTTAACAACAAGACCACACAGCATGGCATCCACAGCTCCCCAAAAAATATCAACATGGCGTTTATTTCCTCGCCGCAGTCTGTGGCAAAACCAGGGAAAATTAAACTCTTGACGGAACGTTCCACTTAAGGCTGTGGTCTGCATAATGTCATCCAATTTGGCGTGATATGTCTACTGCCAACATGTAATCGCAGCATAAGATACAGCATAAGCTACAGTCATACGTAAAAGTGGTGCAACCATCTAAGCATTGGCCCAATCATCAGGAGATCTTGTGTTCGATCCCTGGTGATGCTACAGCCAGCCATGGCTGGGAGCCCAGGAGAGCACACCTTCGCTCTCTCTAGGTGGGTAGGATGGGCCCCCTTTCCCCCCATCATTTAGCACGATGCTAGCAAGCGCAGGCACCTGTCAACTGATGTAACAGGACTGGCGGTTAGTGTTCTCCTCCAAAAGCGTTCAGTTGTCCAAGGATGCTGAATTAGCAGCAGTTCGAAAAGCCAGCAGTGGCTGGTTTCACATGACTCGGAGAAAAACTGTGCTAGCCTTCACCCTTCTAGAAGTGGTTGGGGGAGTCCTTATTCATGGTTGGAATTGGACATAATCAAATCAGGGAGAAAATAAAATATATATATATATAATAAAAATATTTATTAAATAAATATTAAATATTTATTAAATAAAAAAAAAAAGGAAAAATAAACAATGTTTCATAACTTTTGCACAGGACATCACAGTTTACATGTTTTCCAATATGTTAAATCACCAAATAAACAGTAACCGTGCATTAAAATGTACAGAACGGTGTTCTTTGTAGTGTTACTTTCATCAGCAAAATGACATTTGACCAGGGACACTAAAGTTTTTGCAGTTTCAATATTAATAATGAAGTTGATGAATTTATTTCCAAAACAAAAACTCTAAATTTAGTTTTTGAATTGCACCTCAAAATGCAGTCCAGTGATAAATTATAGCCATTATACATACATACCTACATCATCTAAACCACTTATCCTTCTGGGTCGCGGTATAGCCATTATATCATCCTAAATATGTTGTGCGTCTCGTTCTGTCAGATGTGCTGTGACACGGGTCCTATTTGTCAGAAGGCCAATATTTCTGGTTGTGATAATCAGAGATGGGGACCTGAGCCAGCTCCTCAGACTCACCCTTAAAAGAGAATTCCACCGATTTTCAAAATTTCTACTCAGTTCAATCACTAAGATGTAAGATGTGAACAAAGTCATTAAGAGTGGCGTGAAATGCTCTGTTCTAGATAAACTTGGTCAGAGTTGTTCACAGTGGTGGTGATAGGAGCCAGACATCTGAAGCATTTAATGCTTCTAAAAGTCACAACACAGAAAGCTATTAAATGAAATGGTTCTGAATACACCACCTAATGTGCATTACCTTAACATATTGTTTTACAAAGATTTTAGCTTTAAGTCCATTTATAGCACGGAGGCAAAATAGTCCTCAGAGAAAACTTATTTTTTAGGTTTATCATTATTTTACCATTATTAACATTACATATAAAACTCAGAAAACAGGTTAAGGTTTACTAGTGGTACTAGAGTCTCCACACTGAACCATTTCAAATCCAACCACTCTGAGTAACTTTGTTTACATCTCAATGATGGAATTATGGAAGATCAGTGGAATTCCCTTTTAAAAGACGTGTGACTCAACTTAAGACTTATGACTTAAGACATTTCTGAAAAAACACAAACTATTGCAGTAAACAACAAAAAACCCTTTAATTTCCAAGCTTACTTATGTGACTTTGTCTGTCAGTTTTGCTACAGTTGTGAGCACTCCTTACTGCAATGCTGCTCTCCTGCAGTGGTATCAGGTTTGATGCAGCTGCAAGTAATAAGCCATAAATTATGAAAAAAAACCATCAGTTTGATGGACAGAATGAAGCACTACACAAAGTAAATGTGCTATTTAATGGACAAAAACAATATGAAATGGTTGGCTAGCATGTAGTTTGGATAGCAAGCATGTTAGCTAGAGCAATGGCTTATTTAGCTGAAGATGTCAGCTCATCTAGCCTAGGTTTTAGTAAGCTGCAGAGAATGCACATTTTTTTTTGCCCCCATGCAGAGGAGGATGGTTATAGAAGTAAAAATTCCTGTGAGGATCATGGTTGGAGATTTGCAGAAAATTAAGGCATTTTGGAGTCACCAAGTCTCCAAAACTACAACCAGACACTGCCTCCATGTCACCAATTGAAAGGTGTCCCAGAGGAAAACTTTTTCCTTCATCTAACCACAAATGTAAGCAACTGGAATTCTAAAGATGTTACTAGAACTTTGACTGGAAACAGTTTCTATGATCGGATAAGACTAAAAAAAAGAGTTTTGGACCACAAATATATCTATATCTATATATATATATCAATCTTTATGTGTTTTTTCTGTATATACTTGAATTACTTGCTACCATTTGTATTCAGTAATGCCTATTCACGTTTGCACCAATTCCACCAAGACAAACCTCTCAGACACGAAAGAGTACTCGACATATACAGCGATTATGCTTTGCATTTTCATTACCTTCCAGCTCCCGGCAGCCAGGTTCTGCAATGCCCCAGCTGCTCCCTCCAGCGTGTCCGGGTTGGAGCATTCAGACAGCAGGGTGAGGTAGGGCTTCACTATGGAGGGGTGCCATAACATCTGGATCCCTTTGGGGGGCTCTGACGTGTCCGGGAGAGGGCCAACACCATCCCACTGCAGGAAAAAAGGAGGGGGGTGGTGGGAGAGAGAGAGCGAGAGAGAGCCGTCAAGTCAAGAAGGCAGAACGCAAGAGAAAAAGTGTTTGAGAAATATAAAGGAAGTCAGAGAATAAAAGAGAGAAAAGAGACAAAAGGCACAGCTTTCAGTATGAAAATACAACCACGGTTAACATTGAAACATGTATGCAAACTCAAGACAGGCTGCTGTACAATAAACTAATACTGAGTTTTCTTTTAATGGCTGTCTGTCATTCATTGTGTAACAACTCAGAGAGGATGAGGAGAGAGAGAGAGAGAGATGAAGAGGCACCAGAGCACACCAGGGAGCCTGTAGGCTCCATGCTGACTTTCTGACAGGAATTACAATCTCCACAACACAGGAAATGCTAACATCGCTAGTAAATCCACATCTGTCTTCACTAGAACCATCTATAACCCTCCAAAAACACTACTGCAATACCCAGCAGCTGTACTCGCATATACATGATACTCGAGCTAGCTGTCCAAACGATCCTGAATCAGACAGGAATGGTGAGAAATAACTGCAAATTTTGGCCTAGACAGACGAGGGAATCGGTTTAAAATAAATAAATAAATAAAAAAAGAGCTGGGCTCACAGGCTGACCTACTTTCTGCCAGAGCAACTCATGAAACACCTAAGCATCATGGAAAAAAAAAAACTCTCCCTCCATTATTAATGAGTGTGCGTTCACCACCACCCCCCGTTCCTTGCTCCAAGGACCAGCTCTGTCGTTCAGTTGACTGCTGGAGGGAGGCGGAACACCCAAGAGGCCACGCTCGCTTTCTGTACTTGAGGTGTGATAGAGAGAAAAAGAGTGAAAAAGTGAGAGAGCTGGGCAATGTCAGCCCCTTCGCTAAGTTCTGTACCACTGGAATGCAAGGAGTTTAACATTTAGCATTCATTCAGCTGCTGTTGGTGCTCAATCAATCAGACACCTGTGCTGAAAAGCTGATTTGTGTGGTATTAGGAAATCCATTTTTCATTAAATCTGATGGACGCACGGCTTCAGGCCCAGCAGCCACACAAAGCGTTATTTTTACAAGGCCTCATCTCTTGTAGCGGAAAACCGTTGCTAGGCACTTTCCTGGTCCGACTATTATCTGCTTGCTAGCAGTGTTTATGTTTCATATATTAAACATCCAATATCTTGTTCATATTTGATTATGATATAGAATGTTATTTTCCCCCAGTCCACCGCTGTCTCATTCAGGATTCGTCCTCAGGGGAAAAATGCAGAGCTAGCAAATGCTCAGCTAGTTTGAAATACTTTGAAATACATCGAGTGGTCTGGAGAAAAAGCAGAAGGACGTGTTGGTCTGCAGTTCTCTTGTACAGCAACTACTAAAAAAGTGCTTAGGTTTGAAAATCACTTTCTTTTGACATAGGGTGCTAAAGTTTACTGCTTCATAACAGCCCAATTGTGTAACTACACTTTAGTACATGTGTAAACACTATTCTGTGCTTTATATACATTGTTAAGGCAAAGGTTCACCAAGGTATTCTAAACAGCCACAGTCTGGATGCCCTAAGGAAAGTGCGGCATGCGTTACTGAAAGCCAGGAAAGATGATTTGGCAGTAGTAGCCTTATGTAAAGTAAGCTATCAAAGCTAATTGAGAGTATACTGTTGAGAAGAGGTTTGTTTAGCCCTGAAAGCAAAGCTAATTATCTGATCACTGAATGACATCTGCTGTCATGTTGCTATAATTATAGAAGTGCTGAGTAACTAGCATCTCATGGTGCGTGTTGCGGATGAAAAAGTGAGAAGTGCTGACAAGCACAGAGGAGAGGAGGGATACTTGGACAGGCTAGCTAACGCTCCTTTTATATAAAGTCACAAGTGCTACTAATCATTTCATTATCGTAGGGGGATCGCTTTGATAGGAAAAAATCATGACTTTGTGTGCTAAATCTGACAGTATCTGCTCTGTACTACTAAGGCCTGAATCATGTGAAAATTTTGTCACTGTTACTGATTTCAAGAAGCTACGGATTGTTTGTAAGTTTAGGCCATGACTTCAACATGGTGGTAGTATGAGGGAAGACTGATAGAGGGAGGGGTAGAACTCTAAGAACTTGGGCTGGAGTTCTGGGCAGCTTCTACCTGTAGCTAGAAGACCAGACCCCCCCTTCAGAGCTGTAGCAGGACTGATGTAGGACTGAGGCACAGGGAGGAGAAGGGGTGGTGGTGGGGGTTGCGAACGTTTTGTCACAGGGAGGGAAGATGAGAATGTGAATTTATAGGGCGTTAGACTGGAAGACGGAGGGGTTTCAGGCATGTTCCTCCCCCCAAACTTCAGTTATAACATAACTACATGAATAATATAGTACAGGAAAACTTTGCTAAAGTGAATGAATGAGTACTTTTTCAAAATCAAACACAGTTAAAAGTGGAAATATGGAGGCAAAAATATCAACATTTAAACATAATAAGATGGTAACACCACTAGAACACTATTAAAACTGTACTTCATAACATTGACATAACCGTGCCATGAACATTTCAGACGTCACTTGCCATCATGAGTTGTCATTACAGATTTTGTTCAGTAATATAACAGTGTCATGAAACCATTTCCAGTAATTGTCATGACAAATGCTATGATGTTTGATATGACTGCTTATGTTGCATGCTAATTTCTTGAGTATACTCTAGTTAGCCCAGTTAGTCATGACATCAAACATTACGGCATATGTCATGAAAGTTAAAAGTTAACAGTAATGGTAACATGACACTGTTAAATTTCTGGACAAAATCATGACAAATTATTACATCATATGACATCTGCAATGGCATGGTTATGTTAATGTTATGTAGCAAGTAAAATGTTACTGGAAAAAGTATATAATAGTTAAAAGTGAATGTTTTAACAAATAAATGTAAGATTTCCTTGTGTTGTGGTGATGTGTGTTGTGGTGTTTGATGGGTCGACAGTGGCTATGCACAAACACAAATGAGCAGTTTTGGGTGGTTCTGTTTTACACTGATATGAATCTGCCTGGATATTTTAATAAAAACTTAAAAAAATAAAACACAACTGTATGAGAATCCAACTAATGAGCAAGAGAAAAAGTGAAAATCTGGTCTTTGAGTTCTGCTGAAGGTCAAAATAAAAATGTAAGAAGGAATTTTTTTTTTTTTTCTGGGAAACATAATTGACTAAAAGTATATAAATAAAATGGTGCTATACAAACTGACAGAACTGTCGGTTGTGAAATACAATTGTCAGTTCACGACTGTCAAACTTCTTGACTTCATGGTCTGTGAGATGAACTTTGCTCTGAGAATTTTGTTTTTAATTCAAATGAAGATGCAGCCAAAAACGTAACTTTTATGCAACTTTAGTTACTTGAACATAAATTTCATTAAATATAACGTTCATCACATACAGTGTATTGATAGAGACTCATACACTTAACAGATAAAAACACAGGTTATGATAGCTGTAAAAAAAAAAAAATAAAAAGATGCTAAAAATGCTGCAAATAACACCTTGTGGTGATTGTAGCACTTGGTGCATCAAAAAATACAAGCTGCTAATCTAGTACAGTGATTAAATGTGTTGCATGCAACTTTGTTTTTTTAATTGTTTTTGTGTGTTGTGGTTACAAATTAGTGTGTAAAGCCAGCCTTAAGGTGGCTTTACTTGAAAGTGAAGCTGAGTGCAATGTATGCTGAGGACATTCTCTAGCCTCTGCTATCTTTTGGCTGGGGTAAAGTACGAACTGAAACCAAAATATGTCCATTATTCTATAACTAAATTTCATGATCTATAGGTGGATAAGCGAGTACGCTTGAGGGCTCTGAATGCTGTATCTGTCCTGTACTGTTCAGTTCATTATATACAGTGTATAGACAGGCACTCGTGACCTACTCATAGTCTGCTGTTCACAGTTTGCTGCATGCTGAAGATGACAGCAGTTGGAATTATGGAGCTATAAATAAAGATTAAGGTTATGAAAGTTATGGCACGTTTTAAATTTGAGAGATTCCACTAGAGTAAATGAAGTAAGGCAAGGAAATATTGCAGTGTTGGGGCAGAGCTCTGGTTTCTGCTAATTAGCTCATATTGCTGTTATTTATGATAAACTCTTTTCACATGAAGATTTTTTATTACATGTTAGGCTCATGCTAAAGGTTCGGATAAGATTCATTTTACGTTTAAATTGATTTTACTTTATGTGTTTACTTGAACCATGTACTGCAGAATCCTCAGAAGTATCTGTTCAACATAATATAAAATATATCATTAAAATGTCAATGTTTTTCTGATACCGATAAATCCTCCTCACATTGATGTTCCTTCAGATTTTAGAGCCTCCTTTGACTACAAACGTCGGCATCCACTTTGCATTACTCCTCCGCTCTTAAAAAACGTATTTAAGACCTTTTGGTCTTCAGCAGCTATTCACATTTTGACAAAATGCTTGGCACTGAGCTCTTTGAAAAACACCTTTTTTTTCCTGAGAGGAGAGAACATCCCGCTGGCTACAGAAATGCAGCGCTAGCCCAAGGCCGTAGCCAAACAATGCAGGAATGGTTCCAATGAAAAGAGATAAATGTACTGCAAATAAAGAAAAAATTAACTTTCCACAAGTTTGACGTGTCAGAAACACACTTCAGATGAGCTGTGCATGTGTGTGCATGAGCGTGTTTATTCCCCAATGCTAAATCAGACGAGGATTAGAGGCTGCTGGGTAGCAAACATTCTTGTTTACACACACTACTCTCTCAGTCAATTAGCCACGCTAAACGCTAGCAGCACTGACCTGGAGCTTGCCCGGCATTCGCCAAACTAGCTAGCTGCCACTCAGCGATAAATGATTTAACGGAGTGCATTAGGCTTCTCTTGCCTGCAGGCCCCGGTGTCCTCTTTCAAAGTGGCTTCTTGCGGACAGAGGAGAATGTCCAGCCACACAGACGAGGGCACCCTCAGTAATGTGGGCTAACAGCCCTTGACTACATGTCTTAGAAACACAGCCATCTGACCAACTTTAGCTAACTGCTGCAAACAGAGGGGACTCTAGAAAGAGACTGGAAGAGGTACAGATCAAGTGAATACTTAAATACAGCCCACTAACTAATACATGAACTGGCAAAATATTCATAATGTCTAGTCATACAAAGGAGGAAAAAAAACACAGGCATTGTTTAATAAAGGAGGCCTGGCTTAGTGCCCTCAGTGGAGCAATCGCTCTGATGTATTATTTGAACCGAGGGATTTTACCATCGTGACAGCATGCCCTCTGTGAACACTGTAGGCGTAGCTACAGGAAGCCTTTGTGAAGGATGGACATCTGCCTTTGAGTTTAATTTAATTTGGGCTAATTTAGTTAGCATTACAGCTACAACGGTGCCCACATCTATCACTTTTCATTAGGTGTACTGAATTCGTTCCAGATTGTGAACAGCACCTGTGAGAAATGAATGAACCTGTGCTATGCAGGGGCAGACTATGAAAACAGATGCAGGGTTCTTTCTCAGCCAAAGTTGTTCAAAAACATTGTGATTATCACGTCTGGGATGCCACAAAAAAAACATCCATTATCTCAGCTCTCATATTTCCTTTCTTAATCCACAACCAGTTGACTGCAGATTCAAATTCCAGATTCAATTTGATGCCTGACGCAGCAAATAAATAAGACTGACTTGTGGAGACCTGCAGGTTCAAATATTCTCAGCGCTCCACTGCTACTCTACCACTGCACTGTTAAATAGGTTGGCAAACAGAGCTCTTTATGCCAGACAGAACTATAGTTTTTTTTTTTCCACAGTATATCATCATAGAATAAACAGTTTTGGTTCCTTAAAGAAACAAAATGCTCTTTGGATGCTTGTTTAAAGAACCATTGTTTGTATATAAGATGTGCGAGTATTGGGAACCTTCACAAAGATGCACATAATGTAAAGGTTCTGGGAAGAACAGGTACATTATGTAAATTGTCCTAAAACCTTTAAAAGGTTCTAAAAACTCACACATCTTTTTCCAACAGAGAACCAAATGTCATTCTTCTGTGAACACTTTGTGGCACCTTTATTTTTAGAAGTATAACACACTCTTACAATAAGTGTTTCTAAAGGTTAGTGGCTTGGACATATGGTTCAACACTCTTAACGGTAAAAGTTCCTAAATGGGTCTTGGCTTGGATGTACAGTTCTAGAACAAACCTGTAATTGGTATAGAACCTTTACGTTATGTGGAGGTTCTTTAGATGTTAGACCCTTACAGCGTGATGCAAGTAGGTATTTCTGCTGTTTTGTCTACTTTGATAAAAAAAAAAAACATCCAGTAAAGGGTTCTTTAGGGAATCAAAAATTATTCTTCTAAGTCATCACACTGAAGAATTCCTGTAGCATTCTTGTACTTCAATTTTGTCATATCACCCAGCTCTAGCTACACAGTTTGAGAACCCCTGACCCTCACTGACCCTAACTGTTGAAACATACAGTAGTATCAAGGCAAATCACACAGAATAGGGGTGCCATTTAAGGGCCCAGAAATACCAACAAAGTGGACAACAGTGAAGGCACTAATAAAGGACTTACTGCCATAAAGAGGGAACATTTTCACCTGCTAATCACTTCATCCTAAATTGATACAAACAGATCCAAAACGTATGACACTAGCAAGGTAGCTAACACCTGTTTTTGGGCAAAGGACATTACCCTGAAATTGTCCTAGATTTCACCTTGAATTATGAGAAACTTTCAAATCTACAACAAGAGGTCTATTTATGTACAGAAAGTCAGGGCCCAGTGGTTTCCATTCCTGACCGACAATGTTCCCAATAGCCTATGTTTCCAGTCCTAGCTTGCCTAGTCTTGTTAAAGAGCCAATAGCAAATATATCTGAATAATCATCACTAAATGCAGACTAAGTGCATCATCGTGCAAAGAAAACTTTCAAAACTTGAAAAAGAGGTTCCTCTTGAAGTTGCCTGAATTCAACAAACGCAATAGACCAAATGATAAAAATCAACATTAACAACTAAGTAAGGTTAAAAAATAGCTTTTCACAGAACAGAGCTCTCCTTAAAGCAGCCAGTCTACTTCTTCCATAATTACCTACCTACATCTGAGCTCTCTCTCATCTCTGTGTGAAATAAGTGGACTGTGGGAGCACAGTGTGCTTATAATGACAATAATTGCCATTAAGCTGCTGCAAAGATGGCCCACCTGATCCTGGGACTTCTTTTTCTTCTTCTTCTTTCCCCAGCAGCCCGAACTCTCTCCATCTTTGCCGTTGGCATCACTGCATAGCAGGCCGTCTAACTCATCTGTGCCCATCTGCTGTCCCTGAGAAGTTTCTGCTGCGAGTCGATATGAGAGGTTCCTCAAGATACACACACAGTTTTCTATGGTCTGAGGAGAGAGAGAGAGAAAATGGGAGCAAGACAGAGAGAGACAGAGACAGAGAGAGAGAGAGAGAGAGAGAGAGAGAAAGAGAGAGAGAGAGAGAAAGAAAGAAAGAGTTTTAGACAATGGTTCACAAACTGTGGTATATGGTCTATGTGTGGTACCTGAGGTGTCCCATGCTAGTATGCGAGATTGTCGTGACCACAATTTTCATGTTTTCTGTCTTTTTGGGGGATTTTTTTCCCAAAATTGCCCCTAAATTAGTCATATCCAGTTCTAATCCTGTCACACAAGGTGGGAGTGTGAAGGCTAGCACGTTGTTCCTCCGAGACATGTAAAGCTCCACTGCTAATGCAACATCATCGGGCAGCTCAACATGCTTGGAAGAGAACACTAACTGCCAATTCTGCTATGGCATTTAACAGATGTCTGTGTTGGCTAGCATTACTTTGAGAGACAGGAATGAAGCAGGGCCAGTCTACCCACTCATTTGCAAATATTTGACCATTCATATTACTCCTTCAGAGATTAAGTGCTTCAAAATGGTAAGTCTGATGTCTAGCTCCTATTAAATCACTAGTATATGGTACTCGGATGTTTTCCTTTGATGGTGATGATGCTTGGTTGTTCTAAAAAGATTGAGAACTACTGGTTTAAAACTTTGCAAGGCCCATACCCTACATTTTTCTTCCTGAGGTCCACTTATTATTGATGCACTAAAAAAGTCACAATTCATTTTTACCAACCTCGCTTTATTCCTTAAAATTAAACAGGCTGTTTGTCACTGTAATATCTAAATGAGCTCTGTTGTGATTGGCCACTCTGAGCCGAGTTTTCCCTCATTCAAAAAGATGTCAGGGCTGAAACACTTCTTATAACTTCAGCGTGAATGGGCGGGGCTAAACTGCTGTAGGCTGAATAGGTGGATATCCACTGATAAGCCAAAATATTATGATCAATATGCCTAATATGCTGTTGGTTCCCCCGCATGCTGCCAAAACAACTCCGTCTCGTTGAGCCATGGACTCTACAAGGAGCCCTGTGGTATCTTGCACCAAGACGTTAGAAGCAGATCCTTTAAGCCCTGTACGCTGTGAGGTAGAGCCGTTGCATATCGGACTTTTACAACACACCCCAGAGATGTTTGACTGGATTGACATCTGGGAAATTCGGATGCCAGGGCAACACCTCAAACTCTTCATCATGTTCCTCAAACTATGTCAAACTAAATCACTGTGCATTACCCTGCTGAAAGAGGCATCTGGAATACCACTGCCATGAACAGACATATATGGTCTGTAACAACGTTTAAGTAGGTGCTGAATATCAAATTGACATCCACATGAATGCCTGGTTTTCCAAAAGAACACTGACCAGAGAAACACTCCCTCCACCAGCTTGTCTTCTTTGCACACTGCATGCTGGTGCCATCACCTCCTCAGGTAAACAGTGTGCACGTACACGGCTGTCCACGTGATGTGAAAGATAATGGGAATCACTGGACCAGGTGACCTTCTTCCATTGCTCCAAGGTCTTCGATGAGCCTAGGGGCGCCCAACACCCTGTGGTTGGTTTGTGGCTTGTACCTCCTCAGATCACTGTCGGGAGGTACTCACCATTGCTGACCAGGAGCACCCCAGAAGCCAGGCCAGTTCAGAGTTGCTCCTACCCAGACGTCTGACCATAACGATTTGGCCCTTGTCGAAGTTACTCAGGTCTTCAAGCCTGACCATCTTTTCCAAATCTAACATGTTGATAATGAGAACTGACTGTTTGCTCTCCATTTAATATATCCCAGACCTTGAAATGTGACGTGTCACTAGATAATCAACATTATTCACTTCACTGTGGTCATAATGTTTTGGCTCGTCTGTGTATGTAAATGTGTTATTTTTTGTGTCATCAAAATGGGCTGTTCCTAGAACTTAGTTTCCATATATGAACTGAGGAATGAATGTATGTTTTGATACTTTAACAATGTTCTCATACCACTTCAAACTCAAAAGTGAGGAAGAGTTGTTTTTCCATTATATGAGCCCTTTAAGGAAACATTTAGTAAGAAACAGAGAAAAGTATTGGTTATATGTTCGCACCAATTAGTCCATCTGGCTAAAGTGGGGAGCTATCCACTCCCCCACTGTGGGTCTAGAGGTCAGAGCTTTTCACAGACTTAAAAACTCGGCCGATGACCTGTCGTAGTTTAATTTGTTGCTGCCAGTGAGCCAAATACTCATCAAAAGCATTGAGAAACAAAGGCAGCTATTACAGAAACCATTGACTTGTCCACTGCCCATCAAACAAGATAAGGTTATGTCCTGTGTAATACCACAGCTTAGACTCTATCTCTCTCAGTCTGTCTTTCCCTCCCTCCCTCTCTCCTCCGCTGTCGACTGAGAGTGACAGAGAGGGGTGGATGGGTGCTATTACGCATCCAAAAGTGCTTAATTATATCTCTGCCATGGTCTCCCATTTAAATGAGATTAAAAGAAAATCTGTCCGATGAGAGAAAAACAACAAGCCAGATCCACTCCATTTAACAAGGTATTAAAGGGAGACACAACAGCGGAGGAAGAGGAATGCCTGCCAGAGGAGAAGGGGGAATAAATGCGGGGAAATTACAATGAAAAATGAGTGACTTGCTGCGGCTCCTTGTTTTTGCCGTTGTGGAGCGTGGAGGACTATCCTTTCTGCAAACAAAAATAATGACTGTAATCAAAGAAACGCTCTCGGAATTATGCGCTGGCATTTCAGATGTAATGAAACATATTGACTTACAACGGGCGCTCGACGTGCCAGGCATGGCTGACCTTGCTTCCACAAAAGCGTGAAGGGAAGGGGAAAGGGGAGAAAGAAAGTTCAGCCCAACAATTACAGCCTGGAAGTTTTGTACTAGTCTAGAAGCTGAATTCACAAACGTATATTACAAAATAAGAAAAACATGTTTTTTGTCTTAAGAGTTAAAGAGTCCATATCACAGAAAAACAAATTTACCTCACATTTTGAAATAAGAGAGTTTAATGTAGTATGTTGTTCATCTTTCACAACAGCGTTCACTCTGCAGTCTATATATGAAAAATAAGCTGCCAAAACAGCCTGTTTAAGTGTTTTCATGATTGACAAAAGCAGCTGAATGTTACATACTTACATATTTTTTATGTTAAAAAAATCTGCAAATTCAGTAAATAAACAGAAATTGTGCCTTAAAATTTGCAGAAAAATTAGATTTTTGAGTTTGTTCTCTGTAAAGGATGTGTATTTATTTTCATTTAGAAAATCAACAAAACATGTAACTTGACTGAAGGTGTTTGCAAACCTTTGTGTTACACAAACTTTTGCATACAATTGTAAAATTAATTGTAAGTGCTGTTGTCAGATAAAAAGGAAGGAAAGGAAAAAGAAAAAAAGTAAAAGGACACAACCCTTCTAAAATGTTATTCTTCAAACCACATTTTTAATTTTTAAAACATTTCTTTCTACTCTTGAATATATACATAAACTTTTTTTTTTATAAACTTTATACGAGACACTGCTGTTGATAATGTACCTAACACAGCTGACTTGTACACGGATAAAGCAGGCAGTTAGCAAGATGGCTAACAAAGTTTCCCAAATTCTACAGTCTCATAACATGCATTACTACTCTACTCTCACTTTACCAGCTCTTCTTTACAAAGGATTTTTGAATGTTTGGTTGTTCTTCCCTCCACTTCGATCATCAGGCATTAAGCTGAGCCTGATTAGTAATATGTGCAAAGGTTAAAGCCTGTTCAGAATGTATTTTGCACTGTCCATGATAGACTGCAATTGACAGGCTACATGACAAACAGCCTACAGCCTTCAAAGAAGAAAATAATAAAGACTTCTTAAAAAGTTGAGAGCATTTTGCCCCCTTTGTTGTCTCTTCGAATTAAACAGAATGTTTGTGGTACTTTACCTTTAAGACTGGCCTGTTCTGACTGGCTGCTCTGTATTGTAACTTATTCAAAAAGCAGTCCAGGCTGAAACACCCCTTAAAACTTCAGAGCAAATGGGTGGGGCTAACCTACTGTTGGCTGAATAGGTGGATATATAATGCACTGCAAAAAAAAATAATAATAATAAATAATGAACACAAAGCAGTCTGTTTTTGGAATTTCCTTCTATGAACTGGGCAGGGAACCTGTGGCCTACGTTTTGAAACTTTTAACTTCGTTTAAATACTATATCAAACAGAGTTAATACAAAAAAGTGATGTAAATTCAGTTTTCCTGACATGGGTCCTTTAAGAACATGAACTTCTCAGTGAAAAAGTTTTGCAAACGTAATTTCAACGTCATGATCAGTGACTGCAGGACATGTCTCATCAGTGTCCAATCACGCTCACCCATTTTCCTTTTTCCTCTTTGATCTGAGCTCCAGTTCCTCAGATCAGTGGCCTGCAGCATTTTAAAGTGAGCCATTCAACAGGTACTGTGCTGACAGCTTGGAAAGTGCGCTGCACGTTAAGAGAGCTGATTTGCTAGCAGCTGCAGGGGGCACGCTTGCAGCAATTATAACTCCGCAGGACAGCCCTAAAACGGCCCGCACACTGGCGGTTAGAGCCCGGAGCAAACGGTTGACTGATTAGGCCGACTGCTCTTTCTAAAAGGCCAGCAGTGGACTTGCTGTTACGTTATTAAGAGCCTTTTATGTATTAACAATGCATACCACAGGTTGCTAGCAATCATGTCCTCATTTGCCTCCTCTAATTTTTCAGCAAAATGACAAAACTAAATATCAAAGTATGTCTCTTTTATAGTTGTTTTTGACAGTTTTACGCTATTGTGTCAGCTCTTGGATCATTTCAACATTGGAAGACATTCTGACTTTGAACATTTGTCAAAAGAAAGAAGTTTTAGTTTTTGTTATTCTTGCCACTACACTGAAAAAGAGACATTAAACTATGAGAAAAACCTACCAGCTATTTCATACACAAATAAATTTCAATTTCTGTATGCTTTCTTTGTTTACATGTCAACCATGTAAGGACATAAGATTATATGAAAGGACTACAATCCAAAGAATTGGTAATATAGTAGTAATAGAATCATTAGAATAAAAAAAAAAACACTTTTATAAGTAAAAAAATAAGTGATTTTGCAAGAAATAAATGTATAAACTATTTTTCACATAGCCTCTAGTTGCACTTAAAAAAGTATACTTTTATATTTTGTCAGTGTATTCATTGCCTCACAGCAAGAAGGGCCTGGGTTCAATTCCAGGCCGGGCGATCAGGGTCCTTTCTGTATGGAGTTTGCATGTTCTCCCCATGTCTGCATGGGTTTCCTCCAGGTTCTTCAGTTTCCTCCCACAGTCCAAAGACATGCAGTCAGGCCAAGTGGACATGATACATTGCCCCTTGGTGTGAATGTGTGTGTAAAATGTGTATGTCTGTCTGTCTGTCTGCTCTGCGATGGACTGGCGACCTGTCCAGGGTGTATCCAGCCTTCTTCCCAATGACAGCTGGGATAGGCTCCAGCATCCCACAGTGACCCAGAAGGATAAGCGGTTTAGATGGTGTGTGTGTTTTCATTGACAAGGAATCTGCAGAAATAACTTATGTGGCTTTTCTATGTATATTTTATTCCATTAAAATGTCAAAGGCACAGAAAATGTCCTCAAATGCTTAAATGACCCTCCTGCAAATCAATCACTTGTTATTTTAAGCTCAAACAGCATAGCTATAATAATTTTGCGTTGCATTTTCTACCTTGAGATTACCAGCTTTTCTGGATGTTAAAAGGTTCTGCGTGATTAAATAGTTAGATCAGAGTGGTTTGATGTGAAATTCTTGTTCTAGAGAAGTTTAAGAAGTCTTAAATAGAGTGCAAGTGTAGTGAGGTGTAGAAAGCATATCAGTTTGCTTGGCTCTGCCTGACCAGACAGAGTTTTAGGCACCAGCAACTTTTCGTTATTGTTTTAATAGGAGAGAAAAAAAGTTGGCGCATCCACTAAACCGTAACACCTCATGTCCACTTTTTGCCTGTAGAGTGTTCATTCTTTCTGAGCCCAATAGGCTCTGCTGAGCCTTGGGTAAACAGGGCGTTGGGTCTGGTGCCAGTGTGAGGAATCATGACGCGGCGCTGGCCGCAGTAAAGATGAGATAGAGGGGGCAGTGGGAGTCTGTAATGAGCTGGAGTTTGAAAATGACCAGAGGCAGAGAGCTGGGCCACGTCTGTAGCATCAACACTGGCCCGCCACTCAATTCTCATTACTGTGAACGCATCCCCAACCCTGCCATTACTGGGCTGAGCCGGCCGAGGAGGATAGCAGTTAAATCATGATTAAAGAATGCCATTTAGGAGATAGAGGCCCAGCAACTTGAGAGAGCAGCCAAGCACAAAACTGTTTATTTATTATGGAGCATCACACACACAGACAAGCTGTTTTCTAGCAAAGAAGGGGAGAGGGAGAGAGAGGGGGAGGAAGATAAAAGAAGAGTGAGAGAGTGATCGTGAAGGGGGGTGGAAATGAAAGAGTGAGCAGGAGTAGGAGAGAGAGAGAGAGAGAGAAAGATCGCACCAAAGCAGGAGGTGGTAAAAAGAGAGAGAATGAGAGAGTGATTGAGAGGAAAAAAGAGAGACAGTAACAAGAGGAAAGAGTAAGAGAGAAAAACAGAAAAGAAGGAGAGGAGGCGAGAAAGGTAAGGTAAGGAGAGAGAAAGAGGGGGAAAAGAAAAGGAGAGTGAGCGTGAGAGAGTGAATAAGTGAAGAAGAGTAGGTGTAGGAGCAACAGTGAAAGATAGTAAGAGTGAACAAGAGTAGGAGAGGAGGGCAAGGAGAAAGAAAAAAAAAAAGGACAGGGAGAAAGGGAGAGAAAGAAAAGTCAGAGCAAGCAAGGGGGGGTAGGGGAAGAGAGAGAGAGGAAGAGTGAACAGGAGTAGCCAGAGGAGTAGGAAAGGAGTAAAGGGGGAGAACGAGAGACTGACAGAGAAAATAAAGAGAAAGCAAGAAAGAGAAATAGAACACGGAAAGGGAGAGAGATGTTGAGTCAGAAAGAGAGAGAGAGAGAGAAAGAAGAGGAGATAGAGCTATGTGTAATAAATGAAATATACCTGATTGGCTTGGCAATTATTATTATAACAATCATCATTATAATTAAGGTTATCATTATCATTACTGCTATTATTGCTGTTATTGTTTTTAATATTGTTGGCTCACAGCATAAATAACCCAGTACCTTTAACCAATCTTCACTCTACAGAGCCCATTAAATTAATAGCTGCTCTGTATGCCCAAAAAGTTTGTAGACACCTGCTTATCCAGCGTTTCTTCTGAAATAAAGCGTATTAATAGGGAGTTTGTCGCCCCTTTACTGTAGTAACATCCTCTACACTTCTGGAAAGGCTTTACACTAGATGCTGGAACATTGCTGTGAGGATGTGATTGCATTCCTCCACAAGAATGTTAGTGAGGTGAACGAATGTTCTGCTGTGTTATGCTTTTACTTATGATGCTATATGCTACTATATTCAGTATTGTGCCTGTAGTATATTCTTTTTCTGACATTCTGTTCAGCCTGTTTCTGTCTGTCTCAATATGGTCACGTCTGTCACTTGTCATGTATAGACTGGTGCCTAATCTTGGCATCAATCCAGCCTGAATAAATGTGACCGTCCAATGTCTGAATGTCTGGTATCTGCACACAAGAAATAAAGAGCGATTCTCCTGATTTGAAGAGGGTTTGGATTCTGCAGTGGTCAGGTACTAATGTTGGATGGTCAGTTCTGGATCACTCCAGCTCATCCCAAAGTGTTGGACGGAGCTCCATCACTCCAGAGAATGCAGTTTCACTGTTCCACAGCCCAGTGCTTGGGGGCTTTTCACCCCTCTAACTAACGAGACCTTGGGCTCAAGTGCGGCTGCTCGTTAACTTGTATTTGATACAGTCACGCCAAAGAAGCTATCCTGAACTGAACCGAGAGAGAGAGACAGAGAGAGAGAGAGAGAGAGAAAATAATAGATAAAGTCAAACCTTGCTATCAATCTCAGTGCTCCCCAGTGCAGTCTGGATGACAAAAAGTAGAGCGTCAGTCAGCCCCTCACACTCTCTCATCCGCCTCCGCGCCTCCTCCCCTGCCGAGCTCACGTTTCTGAGAGAGAGAGAAACATGTAAAATAAATAAATAAATAGAAAAACAAATATATTTTGAAAAAAGTAAGATGATCTTGGGATACACACACACACACACACACACACACACACACACACACACATATATATATATATATATATATGGTGAAAATTAGGTTTTGGGTTGAGGTTAAGGATTAGGGCCAGGGTTAGGGTTAGGTTGTGGGTTAGGTTGGGTAAGGTTAGGTTTTGTGTAATGGAAGTAACTTATTAACAATACATCGACTTAATGTAAGAACATCTACAAGATATTTACTTCAACGTATTCAGATGCTTCACTGATATGTTGTTGATGTGTTACTGATAATCTGATAAGAGTTTATTATTGATTTTAATAAATAGCCTCTTTCTTCTTTTTGCACTGTGTATTATAACTTTAAATTGATGATATATGTCTGACTAATTGAATTAACATGGCTCAAAGTTTAAACAGTCAGAATTTCACCATGTTCAGGGTTTCCATAGACCATCACATGTGTACATTTACTGTGAATTACTGGCAATAATGTAACACACAAACAAGTTAAGAAAATGAGAAAGAAAAGGAGAGAGAGAGAGGAGAGTACAGGGCAGGAATGAGTGTGTTAACTAAAGGCCCTATGCTCGTCACACAGGTGTGGGTAAACCATCGGGACTTGTCTGCTTCCTCCAATCCAACAGTGACAAACATTAATCTGCATATCATATGCTCCTCTATAATTCAGGTGACTCACTGTGAATCTCCCAGCCTTAGAAACATATAAATATTTAGCCATTCCAGGAAGAATGTTTGAGTTTTACACAGGTTTTAAATATTAAGCATTTAGAGCTCATCAAAAAGGACACTATTAATTTTGAGGCGAAAGGAGCAGAGATGCGTACGCCAGTGATGACATAAGATGTTTTATGAAGTAAATTATGTAAATGTTCATCACTTTAGTTGAAGACCTCTTATATCAGTACCATGTCATTTACCTTATAAAACACATTGCAATTAATGACATAAGCTGTTCAGAATTATTCGAGTATTGCTTCACATATACACATCATTCAAAGATGTGTATATGTGAATGTACATGCATGTGTTATGAAGTCCCCATGCAGGTGTGAAGCGTTATTCTTATCTGAACGTCAAGCTTTTGCAGGAGGTGGCGTACTGTTAGTTAGAAGTCCTCTGACAGTGACATTTGTTTCTGGCTATTAGTTGCTGCGGAACAGCTGCATCCACTGTCAACGGGGCGCTGAAGAGACGTCGGGCCAGTCCTCCAGCTATCATAGCTTAAAATACTATCACAAGCTCTACTCTGTATGTGACCAGAGTGATCTTTATCTGATCTAATGACCAGGACTTAATGTTTCCACAATGAAGACGACTCATTGGAATTTTAAACAGTTCCTCTTTAGTAAGCTTTCTTTTTATTTCGCCCATGGCAAACTTTGTTGTACACATACAAGACAATACTAGAGAGAAAATGCGTGAGCAAACCTTACCTAGGCATATTCCTACAAATTAATACATTAAAAAAAAAAATTAAATCAGTCATTGTAAATAAAATTTTTAAAAAGTTTTATAAAGATCATAACAAACCCTCATATCTCCAATAACAGCACCAGGAAAAATATTCATAAAGTGTAATTCCACTGATCTTTCAAAATTCTTGCATAATTCAAACCTTTAGAGGTAAACAAAGTCATATAGAGTGATTTAATGTGAAATGCACCATTCTAGAGTGAGAACCATTCACAGTGGTGGTGATAGGAACCAGACATCTCAAGAGTTTAATGCCTCTAAAAGCTCCCTCACAGAAGGATATTGCATGAAATGGTTATGAGTGCACTGCCTGAATCTTGAGATATCACTTTATGATAGTTCTGCAATAAACGTCTGGCTTAAAATGTCATTTTTTTTTTTACAACATTTGCAAGGTAGAGAGGAACATGCCGGGCATTATAAGACAAAACAGTCCCCAGGCAAATTCTTTTTTCTCTTGATTTTCAATTATTTTATTTATGTGAATTTAGTCATTCTGGGGCTCTGGGCAAAAGAAAGAAATGGGGCCTCCTGGATGTACATTTTTAAAATAGTTGAAGCTTTGGGCTCCTGAGTGGTGTAACCATCCTGAGTGGTGTAACCATCTACACTGCAAAAGATGATATCTTAGCAAATGAAATCGTCGCAGTTGATAAATCTAACTCAGTTGATCTAATTGGTAAATCTATAACTACTCATTTTGTGATTATAAGAACATTCTATTTTATATAACATTATATTTTATATAACATTATACGATTATTATGTATTATGTAGGGTCTACAAAACCTACATTTTTCTTGTATTTGATTTCTGTCCCTGAGGTCCACTTATAATGCTTGTATGGGTTTATATACCAAAAACAGTCATAATTTAAGTTTACATGACCATTTTCCAACCTCTCTTTATCCCTTAGAATTAAACAGGCTGTTTTTGTTGCTGTGCCTTTAAGACTAATAAATGTAAATGAGCTCTGTCCTGATTGGCTGCCCTGTATTGTGCCTCAAAGCTGTTCAAGGTGAAACACTCCTTATAACCTCTGTCATAACCAACCAAACTGTTGACTGGCACTATATTGATCATTCTACTGAACTGGTTCAAAGTCAGAGCTAAAAACACATTTCAGATGTTTAACTGATTAAAACTTTATACTTTTTTTTTTGCTTTGAGTGGCCCTGTGACTTAATTATGTTTATTTTATTGAAACAAATGACTGAGCATTCCATTTTATCACTACTACAATAACAATACTGAAACTTCAAGAGTTTCAGTAAAGACTGTTTCAGTAGTGACAATTTTAGCTCATTTTGAGCAGAACTCAAAAACGCTAGTCAGAACATGACTAGCAAACACAGCTTTGAATAGCTGTACACACACAAAAAGCACAAAAGGGTTTAATTAATTGCAAAAAAAAAATGTGTTTCAGTAGTGACCATTCCTACGGTCACACTCAGACTTTGGGACACTTTTACTTCAAAACAATAGGATCTAACTGCTCATCATGTGGCCATGAGGGACAAGGATACAGTCTCACTTCCTGCTCTAAAATGCAGGGGTGGGGCTAAAATAATGTTCCACCTACAGACTAAAACTCAGTATGTTTCGGTAGTGACATGAAAATGTGGAACAGCATTTTTTTAATAAAGTTTTTTATATAAAAATTAAACTCATAAAACAAATCATAAATCTACCTTCTCTATTTTTTGATGTTTTCCAATTTTCTCTTCAATTTGGTCAGGTCCAATTGCAGTCCAAGTCCACTCCCCCCAATCACAAGATACTACCAGCCCTTAAGAGGGTGAAGGCTATATGCTTCCTCAGAGTCATGCGAAACCAGCCAGCACATCTTTATGAATTGCCACTAATGCAATGTCATTGGAACACACTTGGAGTAGAATGCCAGTTGTCACATCAGCAAAGAGACGTCTGCATCGAGTCATAGTATTAATTTAAAATCATATAAGACAATGACACTGATCAAAATAAAGATAATGCAGTAGAATGGTCCCTATATCAGATACAATAAAAGGCACAAAAAAAAAGCTAAAAACTAAACGCAGTACAAATCAGTGCTGCTGTACATGCATAAGCACCAAGCTCCTTTTAAGAAAACAACAAAAGATGTCTTTGTAAAATTAATAGCTTGAGAACGTCAGTCTCTTTCAGTATGAATGCACCACATCACACTGTGCAACACTGTACAACGTCCTTGTAGGAACTGAATAGCGCAGCAGAGAGGCAGCGTCACGACATCATTCAAAGCTACTGCTTATCTGTGTCCACTGAACTTAACAGCAAATCAAAGTCATATTCGAGATTCCATTACGATTCATTAGGTAACGTGTCACTGCAGTCTGATCTAGGCTAAAGCCCCCCGGGTCCACGGCCCAGACAAATGACACACATACGTCTATGCCACAGCACTGTGAATCACCCCAGGGGACTCATACAAGCCCTTCTAAACAAAATGCAATTTCACACACACGGCTTGGAATGGGAGACGAGACGTTCTTGGCTAATTTGCTCTCGCTTCATTCAGTCCCACCTCAATCGATGGCTACATTTCATTTTGTGCAATTGGTAGATGAGTGGGAAACGAAATGATGACATTTGCGCTCAGAAAACGCTTCCCTTTCAAACGCATTAACTTGGCAAAGGCATTAGAGATATATCATTTAGCTTGTGCTGATAATACGGGGCATTAGCAGCATAAACTCCACGACTTCATTTCTTTCATAGCCTCGCCTTATTAGGTTATTAAATATTCAACGTGGCTGGCAGTGCCGTCTTCTAATTCACAAACTTACTTTAAATATATGTGCTGCATCTGATTTGGTGTATGCTAATGCTCATCAGCAAAAAGTCTGGCTGCCAGGACCTCTTTCTAATGACTAAAGTAAATATGGATGGGACAACAATGCTGTCGATTATTCTTGACCTGCAGTGCCATATATGTCATCAGTGCCCAGTGTTGTGTGTTAGCAGGAAGCTGAATAAATGCTCACTGAGTTAACTTGAACCTTATCAACTCCAGGAGCAATTCAGGGACTGGATTCACAAAAGCTTTCCAAAGAAAAATATGAAGGACATTTGAACAAGCACTGCAGGAATGAGGAATTTGTGATAATGTTCATCCCAAAAATCTTTTCAAATATTCTCTTATGAAAGTTGTAATGATTTTCTTGCGTTCACCGTTGTAAATCTTTATCCATGCCAAAGATAAGAGTCAGGAGGACACAGAAATAAGCACTCCAATCAATAACTGTTTTGAATTTGGAGCTAGACGAGAGTCAATATCTGCACTGAAGATTAAAGGAAAATGGAGACACAACATTGGCACTCAGACTAGTCACATGATCAGACATGAGTGAGCTTTGCAACTTCAGAATAAAAAGAAAAAATAAACATTTTCCACAACACTGTTGCATACATAATGTAACATAAACCATT